GCCTGGATGCGCGCAAGACACAGACAGACAGACAGACAGACAGACAGACAGGCAGACAGACAGACAATGAGAGGAAGGAACAGTTGGGGTATGTATCCCACAGCGCAAGATCGTCTGTCTTCAGTCTTACTGTCTCAATATGGTGCCCGGTGACTGCCCGTCATATCCTCCCCCCACCCCACCCATCACGACCATATTTGCCTTCTCTCCGCTTGGGCCATCGATGGCCATTTTGTCTCGGTCGTCCGCTGAGCGCTCGAAGCCCGCGGCGGCCGCGGCGGCAGCGGGAATGAACGGCGATCGGTTCTCCTGCCTGGAGGCAGCGAGTCATGGCAGCACACAGACAGAAAGACAGACAGACAGACAGACAGACAGACAATGAAAGGAAAGAACAGTGAAGGTATCCCGATTGTCTGCCTTGTTGTCATCGAGCCTTACTTGGTGCCCGACAGCGGCGCGTGATACCCTCCCCCCAACCCATCCATCACGACCATGTCTCTCCGAGACCCACTCACACCGTCGGCGCACTTCTTGCCTCGGCCGACCTGTTGCGGCTGGATGCAGCCCGCTGCTGCCGCTGCCGCTGCGGCCGGCTGCCTCTGTCGGCGGGCAGTGACCAGCCGATTCATCTTCTTCTGCAACGGCTCTTCGTCCCCCTCGTCCTTCACCACCTCGCCCTTGGATCCCTTCCCGCCCACGGCACGCCGGCTCTTCGGTTTCTGTTGGTGAGCAGCAGCAGCGGCGGCGGCGGCTGATGTGGCGCGAGAGGTCTTCTTGGGGCCCTTGGCGGCGGTGCCATGTCTTTGCTGTGGCCTGGGGTCTTCAGGCCCAGCTGGATGGGCAGAGGTCAGGTCAGCCCCGTTCTGGGACTTTGTGGCGGCAGCAGCCTGATGGATTCGAATCACAGGCAGGGAGCAAGGACACACAATGCCATCCCATGAGGGGGCCATGCACCTTTCATGCATCGGCGTCTCGGCGCGCCGAAGTGCCCATATTTGCCCTTATGCACTGGCCATGTTCCCTCTCCTTACCTGTGAGCGTGTCTGCATCACCATCCCGGCAGACGACTGGCGATACGACTTCAAAGACTCCTCCCGTGAGCAACAACAACACAACTCAACAGGCAGTTGTAGAACTGAGCAGACTCCGAGACGCCTCGGAACAGGCGGGCCAGCTCCACTGGCGAGGTCACCTCTGATCACCCGAAGTCTGTTGCTGAAGCGAACGAGCTGCTGTGCAGGACAAAGGTGGCATGAGGATGGTGTCACAAGACGCCCCCATGTGAAGCGCTTCACGTGGATACTAGTGCCATGGTGCTTGATTGATAGCTTCACTGGCCAATTGGGACTGGTAGCATCAGTCAGTGCGACGGTGACTCAGTAAGGCGTGTCTTCGATCCCTTGCACTTCATAAAAATACCGACAGACGCAGCCCGTCATCTGCCATCACCACAGCTATGCTATGATGCCCAATCTCGCCCTCGCCGTCGCTGTTGTGCTCGTCGTCGTCCCGTCCTGTGCCGGACAGTCCGTCTTCATCAATGAGGTGCATTACGACAATCAAGGCGTCGACGTGGGTGAATTTGTCGAGATTGCTGGCCTTGCTGGCACCAATCTCGCTGGCTGGACAGTGAAGCTGTACAACGGACGCGATGGGCAGGTCTACGGTTCTATTGAGCTCAGCGAAGTCCTTCCCGACCAATTGAACGGCTTTGGCGTG